TTGATTCACTGTATCATACCAGACAATTTTTCTCCAAAAGTAGGGTAATTGTTTGTGACCTGGCATCTCAACTTCAGTCACTACCCTGCTGCCATGATGTAGCTTCCCTGTGTCTTTTCTATAAATATTTTCATGGCAATTGTTCGAATGAACTTTCCTCCTTGGTACCTTGACTGCATAAATTTAAGTATATTACGGAAGGTTATTCGTGAGTATGAATGGATTTTATTTAAAATTAGCAGACATAATGTCTGTAATTCATTCAATCAGACATGCCTAAAAAGATAATTTGCTGCCTAAATACACAAATTTTAAATATATATATATATATATATATATATATATATATATATATATATATTTACAACCATGCTGTCAAAATTATAGCGAGGTGAAGATGATAATGATAAGCATCAGATGAAAGATAGAAAATGACAAAATCAAGTTCATTCTCCACAAACCAGTTTCCCATGCATTTTCGGCAGAAAAGATTGTCATTCAAGAATCAGATTGTTGATTCATTCTAGATGTTGCTCTTGACAGGACTGATTCTAATAAAACTGGTGACTATAATTATCTTACAAGACATAACACTGTTATTAGGTTTTCCCATGTGAGGTTTGAAATATATTTTTTTCAATTTATTATATTTATTCTCTGCTTTTTTAAGGAATTAGGCTTTTGATCTTCTGCTTTGTAAGCATCTTCAAACAGTCTGCCATTGGATTAGCAATGACACTGCCAACTGATATCACCAGTGCAAGGGAGATATAACTGTTATATAGAAACCATGCAAATACATGTGGTGTGTCATATGTGTGTGTGTGTGGCTGATACAAAATTTTCAGTATTTTTTGATAACATTTTTTATTGCTGTAATTCCTGGCATCATTAATTAGTCATTAAACTATTTTTGCTTACTTTTGATGGCCTTATGTCACTTTTTTTGTGTATTCCATCAGAAAAGTACAATTTTATTTTTGATTAGGTGAATTTTTTACCATTGAAAGATTACAGCATAAACCAAAACATGTGGCAGTCAAAATTGCACAGATCTGTAGAATATATTTCATGTGGAAGAAAATTATATCCCAGCTTGATGATTGCTTACTGCATTGCATTAATCCCAAGAAGATTGGTATTATCATCCAATTGACTTCTCTTACACAGGCAAAAGTATTTTCTTTTCCAATATGTCATTCAAATGTCCAGTTTCCAGGAATAGCAATCTTCTTTGATAAGATAAAGTGTATCTCGACATGGGTAGCAGAATGAAAACAATCTACTGACATAGATTAAATAAAGAGTTCTGTTTGAAATTCCCTAAAGGTTACTCCTATCAAGAGAAGGTCAGAGAGTACAAAAGTTGAAACATTTTGATAACAACAACAAAGATAAAGACATCAGTTTGAATGTAAATAATCCAGTTGAGAGAGGGATTGTGCAAGCAATAAAGAGGTAAGTAAGCATGAGATTTCACTTTGTATATATATATATATATATATATATATATATATATATATAAAAATATAAAAGTGAACATAGAAGTCAACACTTAGAGGCGACAGTCTGTTTCATGCTATATATACTAGTGGCCTGACGATTGCATATTAACAAACCTTTTCCCGCTAAAATAACCATTAGAACAAATAAAAATAAAATAAATAAGCAAAAACAAGTAAAAATAATCAATCCAAATAAATAAATAAAATAATAAACAAATTAAAAATTCTCCTCTGCCAAAATAACAGAATAGACTACAGCAATCAATCCAAAAAATGGACAAAAAATAGCTTTAATTATCTTCCCAGACCAAAACAAACTATTAAATAAACAACCTAAACAAATCTCAAAAATTTTTTAACTATGTTAATAAAATATTGAAAACCGAAAAGAATAAATAGATATATAAAATAGAAAAAAAAAAAAAGAAGTAAAATAAGTTAACCCAAATAAATAAATAAACAAACCACTCCCACCAAAATAACCAGCAGAACGGATTACCCACAATGCACCACTGTCCCGTATATACAAATAGTTGAGCAAAAAAACCAACACTTGTGACGTGATGATTGCGTCTCGCATGAAAAAGCCTGTCGCCTCTGAGTGTTGACTTCAATGTTCACTTTTATATATATATATATATATATATAGAAAGAGAGAGAGAGTGCGAGAGAGAGAGAGAGAGACAGAGAGAGAGAGAGAGATATTAATTGAACTTATCAATTTAACAAAATCTCGCTTTTTCTTTATATCTTAATCTATATTGACTGATGAGATTGTATAGAATGGATTATTTTCTTTTTGTTACAGTGAAATTAATATATTGATGGTAATTTTTTCTTTTGGTAGATTTTGCTCTATAATGTGTATCTTACTAGGATACTAATTGTTTGATTTTTGGTGGTATTGATTGTTTATCTAGTACTAGGAGTAGAATGTGAGATTTGACTCCAGTATAGGATATCAAAAATACAAAAAATTCATTTCCTACTGATGAAAAAGTAGTCAGTTTGATAAAGCATTTATATGGAGGGTTGGTAATATTTTTCTGTTTATCTGTACATTTAACATTGTGAAATTTATTTAGATTCTTTTGATTGACTAATTGCTTTTTATTCTTTCTTTTTAATTAGATATAGTAAATGTCTTTCATTAAGATACAAAGGATGTTACATTTTTAAAAGAATTATCTTAAACCACAAGTAAATAAAATTGAGGCCTTGTTATGTGAGTGATTGTTCTATTTGAAAAACATTTAGTTGTAACACACTTTGGTTACACAGTATATCAGATATATGTAATATGAAGTGTATAGGAGTTTATGGTAGTTATAGAGTTATCAGTTATGGATGAGTTATGACAACATTCATTCCTACCATATATTGATACAATTGATTTGCGTGTATATTGGCCTTCTATAATAATTAAAATGCACAGAATGTTGATAAATACAAAATAAATCTTTATATACACAATATAATAATACATAAGGATGAGGTGAAAATTGAAGTTTCAAGAGTTCAAGTGTAATATACCTGGGGCATATGAGAAATATAGAGAAAGATAAAGAGTCTGGAAAGAAGTAAATATATATATATATATATATATGTATATGAATATATGTATGTATTCAAATGTAAAAGCTGCTGCTTGGCTATGTGAGGAAGGAAGGTATGTTTGTTATCAATGTACATAGATGGGTCAGCCATGTAAGGTCATCAGCTGGTTGGGCAAATGTCGTTTTTCAATTCTGGGTGTTATAATGACTGCAGCATCAGAGAATGGGCAAAATTAATTTGTCAACTCTGGTTTTAGTTGATTTTCCATCTGTTTATATACACATCTGTAGATTTGCTTTGAAAAGGCTGCTTGTTTCTCATTGGCTTGCAGCCTTATGTCCTGGTTGTAAAAGCTTTCTGATTGATTGGTCGAACTATCTATTTTTAGAAATGGAGAAGTTTTGGTCTCCTGGATAGTATTTGTTTATTTCCTTTCTTAATCTTGGTTGTGAAAGCTTTCTGGTTGGTTGAACTATGGCTTTGTTTGCCTGTTGATTTTTATTATCCATATATTTTTAGAGATCATGAAATTTTGGTTTTCTTGTTATTATTTTTATTTATTTATTTATTTATTTATTTCTCCTTCACCACAAGTTAAATCTGTTTACATGTTTTTTGGTTTACAAATATATTAATTTCTGTACATACATATAAATACACACATATTTATATGTTTATCAATGAAAACATATCATAATAATGTTTTCTGGCTAAATATATTTCTTGGTGCTCAGTATTTAAGTTTACAGTTGTAAACCGACAATCCCTTCTCTTACCCAAGTTTGAGCAAGGAATATTTTTCTACTCCATGATACACTACAAATTCATATAAAATTCCTTTGAAAAATTAAGCCATTTTATTTCTTTATTTTCTATAAAAGATATTTAGAATTTGAAATATTTTATTTTGTATGCAAAATTTTGTGATTCTGCAACTTATAATCAAAGAAAGAGCAGTAAAAATACACTTGATATTTTCCATTTGTAAGAAATTTTATCTGTCAAAGAAACTAATTTTATATGACAGAAAGGGAAATAGGACTTTTAGCCACTGGCATTTTCTGATTTGAATTAATATATCAAATGAGTCTCAAGAGAAATGAGTTGGTTTTTGATTAATTATTAGACAAAGAATTATTCTGCTTAATAAGTATTTGAAATGTTTCTTTGATATACCATATAAGACTCCCTCCACTGTTTACATTTAATATTACATTATTATGGTGTTACTGGTAGTCTATGGCATATGAGACATCAGGTTTGCTTATAAGACCATGTTGATAACTATTGGGAGTATATGTCTATGCCATCAAATGGGATGGAAGAAGATATGACCTGACTTTTTACCTGTTAGATTCTTTTACATACGTAAATTAACGGCAACTTTGTATTTGCATTCATTAGCAATGATTAAGACTAGTTTAAGTTATTTGTATTAATTTTCCTGTAACTGTTGTCATTGGTATTGGATTATTCAACAGAACAGCACAATGCAAACTGTCAGATCAGAACTGAACCTAATTAAAAGCTTAAATAAAAATTTTACTATTTGAAAGTTGTTTCAATAAAATAAGAAGGATTTCAATATATATCCACAGGTTGCATCTATTTTTCCTGTAAAACTAAGTTTACTATTTATTTTTGAAAATAAAAAAAAAATCAAACAAAAAAGTGCGGAGATGTTTGAAAACTCAAAACAACAAACAAACCAATGTGTCATAAGCGTTGTAAGGGGGGGAAAAAGCATGTCATGTGAACAGTGAACAAGGATATTTACAACATTATAACGAATAAATTTTAGATCGAAAAATATTTCTCATTTTAATATATTTCTTTATCCAAATTAAACTCATTTTTGATTTCCTTGTTAAAATTGATTAATGTGTATATCACACATACAACTTTAACTAAGAAGTGTGATAAGCATGTCATGTGCGTATGAAGCAAAAACAGATGTTCGGGAATAAGGTAAGAAGGCGAATACGAAAACGAGGCAGTAGCAGGAAACCGGCATTGAACTTCATTCTGTTTTCTGCACTGCCACCAAAGTACATGCACACAATCGGGGGACTCCTGCTTCGCATTTACTGACTCACGGGACTGATTTTCTATAGAACCACACGGAAGGTTAGTGTCCTCCCTAAATTATTTGCATAACAGTGCTTTTGTTATTGTAGACCTATAAATTCGTCTATTTTATGCTTTAACTTCACCTGTTGACTTTTTGCTTTTCTTTTTCTGCAATGCCGGACGCACCCCCTTATTATTTTTCTTTTTAGTTGTGATTTCATTTTAGTTTATTAAAATTTACTTTGTGTGCGTTTTTATGAACATGTGTATTTCTAATATATTAAATTATCTTCCAAATCCTAAATTTCTACGATTAATAACCGCGAAATTTATTTAGTTATAGAATTACAATACATGGAAGGAGAAGAAATGATGTGACGTGATCTTAGACTTAAATAAATCGGGGTTCGCATTGGAATGTTCTGCTGTCTTTCCGTTTTTTTTGTTCTCTGATCGGATATCAATTATTTTATAATCTTGAAATGAACTTTTTAATTAGTTATGTTCACAGTTGCTATTAATTTTGTTTGTTTTGATTAGTTTTAGCCACTAGAACCTTGCAAAAACAACGAGCAATCTTTCAGTTCCTTTCAACGTGAGTCATAATTGAAACGATAATGGAAATTATGGATGCCAGTATATGACAGAATGTTTAAATTAAAAATCTGTTGCTTTAATATTTTGTAAATTAATTCTTAAAATAATTCATTATAATAAAATGTTTTGCTATTTTTCAAAATTCATATCTGTACAATAGTTTTTGACATAAAAAGGACCCATTTAGTTTGATGTATTATTGATTAAGTAAGGTTGACGTATGGGGTCACTCATATTCTTCCATCTTGTATTGATTCAGAAATGTCGTGGGACTTCAAAAAAGTTAAGGGATTATCTTCTTAAAATAACATTTCATAAACTTGTTCATTATTCATTATTTGTTTAATGAACAAAGAACATTCTCTAGACTTTCTCCACTTTTATTGTTTACAAATCTTTTCGTTTTAAAACGTTTCAGGCTCAGCTTACTACATTAAAAAATAATCCATTTCCTTGTCTGAGTAAAAAAAAAGAAAAACATTTTATTTCTTGTTTATGCTTTTTTGCAACATTATCTTCGCTTGATTCTGAACATTGAACAATAGTCCGTTGAAAAATTTTGGTGATGCTTTCTTTCTCTCGAAGTAGGCAGGTTACTTTGAAAAAAAATCATTTCACTTTCTTGCAAATTTAATAAATATTGAATATCATGCTATATATTCTTGCAAAGTGACAACTGTATTTACGCTTCTCTTAAGGCACAAGATAGTTGAATTTATTAATTTTCTTTTGCAATTATTATTTCCTAGCTTTGATTTCTTTCCTTATTGCTAAGGAACCTGATCAAGAAAAGAAAATTGTTGAAAATTATAAAATGAAAATCTGATAGAGAAAAAAAGTAAATAAATGGTAATAAAAAAAATCTAAGAAACCACACCCATTTCATTTAAATTAAAAAAAATAATGGCCAATTCTCCTTCATGCATTCTCAGGGAATCATACACACACATACAAAAAAACAAAAAATTCTGATTAAAGTAAAACGTAAAATAAAATTAGAGTTCTTATTTGTGGCATTCATTAAGCCTAAAAAAAAAAGTTATTGTTAGACCCAGGCGTAACTTGGTGATCAAATTGAAGTTTCATTAGCTTGTCATAATGTTTTAAGTTTGAGTTTAAGAAATCTGCAAAAAAAAAAAATGATCTCATTTTAAAACTAAAAGATTTCATTTTTTTTTCTTTTTGTGAAAGAAACAAAAAAAAAATCTATAAATTAATTATGATCAAATTAATTAGTTTTAAAAATCAATTATTACATTTAAAATAAAAAGCCAGTTGAGTTAACTTCATCTTTTAGCCGACTTCCCACGAATCTGTGTACACTTGTACTGTGTATGCTTAAAGTAAGTTTCAACACCGTGAGATACGGGCAGAAAATGATACAGTTTGACCTTTCAACTCTACGTAGTTAAATACATTTTGTAATTGTTTTATTTTAAATGTATAAAAAATTCTTAGAATGATTATTTTTTAGCTTTCTACTTTTTTGTTACTTTCTATCGCCACAACAATAACATTGAACATTATAACAACCTTCAATAAAAAGAAAAAAAGTTTTTTAAATTTAATACATTGAAAATTATTGTGCTTTAAAAGCAACTATGGAGTAAAACGTGGTAATAAAATATTAAAAAAAGGCCTCATGTAATGAAAAATAATTATTTCTAACTTTTTTTTATTTAAAGACTTTGAATTCCAATCGAATCCATTACATTCACTTACGTGCTAATACCCTTGGGAAAGGTATGGATTTTCTTCCCCCCCCCCAGCTATGGGTAAATAGCAGGACAGACCGGGTTCTATAGCCTTGGATAGCAACTGGTCTACCACACAATGAAATGACAACCTACTGCGGGGAAAAATCTGCCTCATCAGTCATGCATTGAAAGATACATGATCGCCTAAGCATGTATCAAACGTGGCTCATAACTGACTGACTGAGTAAAGAATCATATTGAAAAACATAAACAGTTGTAAAGTAGCAACCTAGCACATTTGTACCACTTGTAAATTCTGTTTGTGAGGGCCTAATTTTAAAAGTAAATCTGCTTAAACCAGAATAGATTTAGATAAAAACACCTGTCTTAAAACTTCTGAATTACTACCTTGTTGACTCCTATTTCAATTAACATTCCGTTTAAAGATAGACTTAACTTCTGTGACTTTCACCAGCTTGTTGATACTTGTTGAAGTATTTCTTTAAAAATATTTGATGACAATTGCTATTTAAAGTAAATGTTTATTGATGGAAAAGTGATTGTTTTTTTAAAAATCTTTTTGACAATATTACTTCAAAAAAAAAAAAAAAAGTTATTTTCTGGCTGAAATGGGGGAAAAAAAATGAAGTGAGTGGGGACCTTGTTAAGGATGAACATGTAGTATCACAACATGAAAATAAAAATATCCCCCAGCAAATACTCAATCCAAATTAAAGTCCTGCAAACAGAGTTCACAAAGATCTCTAATCAACCCTTTATAATGAAATATCTTCCATGTCAGTGACCCTAAAAGAGAGGTCAAGAATGACCTAATTTAAAATCTCAAAATAGACATTGCCAATTATCTTCAAAGAAAAAAAAGCAAAGCTAGAAAAAAATCACAAAATCCCCAAATTCTCTGGAAACAACAAACCATTTTTAAAATAGTTGAAAAAATGGAATTAAAAGACAATTCTCCATTTCAAAAACTCAACCAAATAAAATAATCCCTATACTGCATTGTGGCTCATAAAATCATCCAGGGAAGATCTTTTCAAGATAACTATTTTCCATTTTGATTCATTCTTCACAAGTATTTTACTTGATGGTCAATTAAGTATATAATCTGACTGTTTCTCACACTTCTTTTTACACCTTATAATGTTAAAAGAATATTCACTCTGACATTGTTAAAGCAAAGGATATTTTCTTGTTAACAAAGAATGTTTTAAAACTGCCATTTCCACTTATTTGAAGCTAATTTATATATTTTATGTTACTTGTATTTTTATATTTAAATTTTACTTTTTGAATTGAAACTTTTTTTAATTATAAAACATTAAAAAATGTAAATGTTTTTGATGGTAATTAATATATAAAGACAGATAAAATTATTAAATCATTATAATTTTTGCTTTATAATGTGGATAAAAGAAAAAAGACTTTATCTTAATGACTGTTGATATATCATAAAGTCAATCTTTATTATTCTTAATGGATAGTTAAAAAACAAAAAAATGTGGAAATTGTACATGTCTGTAAGGAGAATCTTGCCAAAATCACAGTTAGCAGGACTGCAATCTATGCGCATTGGGTAATGAGTAATATCCATTTGTAACCTACTTCAAGTATGACTTGCTGCATCTATTCTTTCTTTCCACAACTAAACTGGTACCAGTTTCTATCTATTGGCATGCTACATATTCATATTAATCACTGCCTTAATAGCTAATTATGATGCTTGAAGGGTTTACACAACTTACATAGTACAAAGTTCATTTCACACCAGGTTTCCTGCTTTGTCAATGAATGGTCATTATTAGTTAACTGGGACAGAAGTATCGCGCACATGGGCTGTATTTTTTCTTCATCATATTGAGCTATTTCTGTACTAACTTTGTCAGATTTGCTGTTTTGGTTTGACTTGACCAGTGTCACATCTATAGACAAACTAAGTTTCCAAGTGTTTTGAACTTATTAATATCTTGTTTGCAGTATTGTTGTGTATTCTTGCTTTTTTGGTAAGTGTCAGAGATCCACTGATGCACACATGTTGAATATGTACCTTGATCAAGTGAAGTATCATAGTTATATCAAAATTAGCCAAAGAGAAAATTATGCTTGTCACTCTTTGTTACTACAAATTTTATTAAATTAATTTAAATTATTAATTTTGACAGTTTTATTTTGAGGAGAAAATAACTAACTGCAATTTATTTTGAATAGATGTTAAACTTTAGCAATTTACATTTAACACTGCTGTATTGAATTTACAAAATTTGTTGAGTTTGCAGTTTACTCTGAGACAAAAAAAAAATTAAATGACCATCAAAATGAAACCCTCAAATTTCATTGTGAATGTTGCTTTGAGTTTATAGTTTAATAAAATATTAGTTTCTTTTATTCAAACTTTCTTTGTAAATAGTTTGGCCCTTGAAAAAGTTTAGATTCAAGTGTTTTCAGATTATATTAATGTTTATTAAAATGTATTCCCTTTATTAAGACCTTCAATTTTAGTCATATGAAGTCAGATTACTTTGCTTTTAAAATCAGCTAACAAGTGACTATCTTGTAGATCATCTTATTTGTTGTTAGTATTTTGTAAAGTGTATAATTTTCAAATCTTTAATTAACTATTTATTTTTGTGTGTAATGTTTTGTAAATTATTATTTTCTCTAGAATAGTTGATGGCAGAAATCATCTTCTTTAAGTTTTCAGTCAGTCATTTTTGTTTTGTCTAAAACCAACTTAATTTTGCTCTT